TCTGAGTCCACCTCATGTTACTCGAGATCGCCTTCCTATTCCTAGTAGCTCGAGGTGTTGACAGCCAGGGCTACTTCAGTGCTCGACAAGGTTAACGGATAAGAATTAATTTTTATGGGATAAAGTGGAATCTTAAGATGACTCAGATCTGACTAAGAAGAGATTAGGATAAACTGGGCAGCTGGGCAGGCTAACCGAGGGGCATTCCAGACATGTATTTTTCCATATAAAAGGGGATGAGGTATGACTAAACCTAATTTTTACACTCTACACATTTTCACTATATTGCTGCTCTGCCTACAGAGCATTCCCTTCTCTTCTTGATACTGACTTAAGCGTCGGAGGCTCTACGACGAAAACCCCTCCGGCGTTGAGTTCTTGCAGGTGTTAGTGGTGATTTAGAAGCGGTTCGAACAAATCGGAGCTCATCTCAACCGGTTGACTCTAGATCTGGAAGAAACCCCATCAATCCCAGACATCAGTTCACTCATCCAAAGAGAAGTTTCGGCAAAATTTCAAAAATGGTCCACTATGTTGGCCATTTTCCGAAAAAAGGTCCATCATCTAGGGCGTCATCAAGAATGGTCCACTACGTTGCCAATTTAATTGAAATTCGTACAATAACCAACATAGTATGTTGATTTTTGGTTGTCATATTTAGTACACTATGTTAATTATTGTACGAGTCTTGATTAAAATGACAACTTAATGGACCATTTTTGAAGACATCCTATATGATGGACCATTTTTAAAAAATGACCAACATATTTTACTAAAAATGAAATTTAGCCGAGAAGTTTCTAAATATCTATCTAGGCAACTGGTTGGAAAATCACCTACATTCTCACAGTTTTGTTGACTTCCCAAGTAACACTAAATATTTTGAATTATATTTTTTTGAATTACTTGGAAGAAGCAAGGATTGTGGACACTGGAGGTAGAAGACATACTTGTTGCAATTATGGATTGGCCATCAATCTTGTAAGTATTTCAATACCCATCACAATAACGTTACCTAATGGAGCAAACATTAAAGTAACAAAGAAGTTAAGTTGATTAGCCATCTTACTCTCAGGAATTCCTTTATTGTTCTAGAGTTTAGATAAAATTTCAACTTTTACTATACAAAGATGGGGGAGAAATCGGCCACGGGAAACTGACAGAGTTTTTTTTTTTTTTTTT